ACGAAGTAACGGTGTCATAAATAATTATTCTCCTTCGACGACTTTTATCGAACTTAACGTTCGATGTCCTACAAGCCGTAATCGTCGTTTAACGACGATACCGATAAGGGAGTCTGACGTTTCAGTCTTTTTTTTTTTCGGAATTACGTAGACGCAAAAACATTCCTCTGCGGAGACGCGAACGAGCGAGCGAGACGGGGGAGTTTCTATCGGAAGTCGCGATGAAAAATTGCCGCGATAACAGTCGAACACAATAAACCGACCTCCCCACTCGCGTTGCTCAGTGCCGACTGAGACTAATTGCGGCTCCGATTACAATGTCCTCGGCTATTATTATAATTTATAACTCGATTGTTGCGTCGGCTATCGGCGATGTGACGCGCGCCTTTCGAAGCCAACGAACGAAATCGGCGGACCGAAAATTGCAAAAGTGCCGATTGTCACTGACATCGACGATCAAAAATTACCGGCCGAATCTGCTCTGTCGTTTTGTACGCTTCAATGAAGAGTTTTATCAAAAATTATACAGAAATGTAGAATACATTCAATATATTGAGACAGAGAGAGAGAGAGAGAGAGAGAGACAGAGAGAGAGAGAGAGAGAGAGAGAGAGAGAGAGAGAGAGAGAGAGAGAGAGAGAGAGAGAGAGAGAATAAAGTCCCGGAGTCGCGGGTCATAAATTGTCCAAATTATGCGACTATATAGACGCTTTGATGAAAACGATCGGAAATCGTCTGAAATTTCTCGCTCTCCCGAATACGTTCAGCTTCTTTTTCACCAAACGCGCGCGACGTCCACGTTAGAAAGGTTAGACGGTTGATTGCGGGTTCTCCCGAGCCACCTTGGCGCGTCTCATGGCTTTGTGCGTGAAATAAAAAAGTTCGTAACTGTAAGTGGTGCGCGCTCACCGCTAAATAACGAAGGCGCGAAGGCAGACTGCAATGAGGAAAATAGCGCGTGGATTGCGACAGCCATCAGCGACATTAGCGGCGATTGCACGAGCCATCGGTGATTGACCTCTTTGTGGGCATCACACGTTACACCACCGTAATACGATAAGGAGAGACCGATTCGATGGGAACTGGGGTGGAAAAAACGTGGTACGGAGGAGCCCGGCCTCTTTTCGTTTCACTGCGACGAATCGGCGTGATTACGCAATCGTGCTGCTGCACCGTTGACCGTTGGACGGCCAAACGCGTTATCGCCCCGTGGATATCGGACGGATCGAGATGGGCATCACGCCGCGACCGTTAAACGCGGACGCGGTCCCGTCAAAGGGTCTTATCGTTGTCCCGTAGCGCTGTCTTCGTCTTCCCCGGCTTCCTCGCTTTCTCGATGCAGTGAAGAAAAAAAAAAAAAAAAAAGAAAAGAAAAGGCAAATTATCATCGTCGCATTGTCTGCGAGCACGATACGAGAGGTCTTTCGGGGTCATGTTGCAAGAGCACGATGCCAGGGCGCAGCGTTGCCAGGCGAGACAGCCTGAACGCACCCAACGAGCTACCCGATCTATTTATTTGCCGCAATATTTCTGCACGACGCACCCCTATCCGCGTCCCGCGACAAAGCGCCCAAGCGCACTCTCGACTTCGCGTCACTCTTCGAGGCGTTCGCTACTCTGGCACTTGGATACACGTTGGAATATGTCGAGCGATAGATTACCTACACGGTAAGAAATGCTGCTCGGTAAAAATATCAGAGAGGTATTTGTCGCACGACACACACACACACACACACACACACACACACACACACGCGCTCATAGGATCGTGCCTCTTCCGCGTTCGCTCGCAAATTCCATCTACGACTATGATAATCGCCATAAATTTCCTCGGCTCGGCCACCCGCCTCGGCTGTGATCCTCGCAGCTCGCGAGGGAGAGTACGGGAAGGCGAGAGCGTAGCCTCGAGGCGGGACTTTTTGCTCGGTACACACATGTGGCCGGCCAGCGGCGATTCGGGTCCGATAAAAGCTTGGGTCCGAGATGACGGCGGTCGGGCGAGAGAGAGAGAGAGAGAGAGAGAGAGAGAGAGAGAGAGAGAGAGAGAGAGAGAGAGAGAGAGAGAGAGAAAGAGAGAGAGAGAAAGAGAGGATCGGCCGGACCTCGCTGTCCGCCAACTTGAGCGAATCGCATGTGCGATGGTGCGCACATCCGCGAGCTCAGAGAGAGAGAGAGAGAGAGAGAGAGAGAGAGAGAGAGAGAGAGAGAGAGAGAGAGAGAAAGAGAGAGAGAGAGAGGGTCAAAGAGGAAAGGAGGGATATGCTGCGTGCGTGTGCCGTGCATTATGCACGTGCATCGCTCGCTGGTCAGCGAGATGGCTGACTGGTCGGCCGCAGGCAGCAAAAAGAGTCCTCCTCTCTCTCCGCCGGCCAGTGTGAGAATGAGCTCGGCTATCGATTACGCGCGACGCGATTCATTAGACCTCTGCAGACCTGCGTCGAGGTGAACTCGGGTGGCACGTCGTGTGGAAATAGTATAAATAGGCGAATACATTCACCTAATCCAACTGTGTAAACTCTCGCTTTGGCCTGCGAAATCGCGAGTACATCCCGTGCGAAATGGTTGCAAAGCCTCGAGGGGTAACCGCAGATGTATCTAATTACAACACTTATCGGTTCTTATCGCGAGCTTCGAGGGTAATCCCGTGTAGTATCCCGGGAAGTATCGCGGGAAGAAAAATGAGCTCGGCGAGTGGGAAAGCGCGATTTATTTACGTCCGCTCGCGTGCGCCCGTGGCTGTCAGGAGCGACGTTCTTCGGCCGTAACGAGTCGCATGCGTGCGAGCCACAAGTGGTTGCTCGCTCCCGCACTCGCGCGAGGATTTACGAGTTTTCGAGAAAATCGTGCGCCGGGAAGGTTTTACGACGTCGCCGGAAATTCGTCCGCGCCATATCGCCGCGATGACGACGACGACGACGACGACGACGACGACGACGATGACGACGGTGATGGCGGCGGCGATGAGGACGCTCGTAAACGTCGTCGGGACGATACGGCGAGATTTCGACAGCTCGATAGGACGGAAACTCGATTCGAGTGCTTACACTTTCCGGAAAGTGAAACTTCCAGAGGTAGAGTTTCTTGTATGCCAAATCGGAGAATATTCCTTCGCGTTTACGACGGCAGCGGCGACGATCGCGCGGCGGTCTCCGCTGGCACGCTTCGGATCGCGAGCACTCGTAAAACCAGGCGAGGCCTTGTTTCGTCTAATAGCTCAAAACATCGTCGGGCTGGCCAACGAAAAAGTGCCACCACCTTGGCACCGCTCCCTCCTCCCCGCGCGTCTCTCCCTTTCCCGCTTCGCGCCGATAAATTTCCTCGCGCGCTTGTCAAAACGCTGCTGGGACTATAAATTTCGCCCGCTACCGGACCGAAGCGGGTTATTAACGCGCGACCAACATATTTCGCGGCCACCAACGAGCCCCGCAATCGCGTTGCGGCGGCCTCCTCGAGCTCGCCGTCACCGGACGGTCGGCTCGGAAACACGAGCGGCACATCGTATATCACCTCGCTCTCCAATTTGCCAGGTGATTTTTACGAGACCGGTGCCACGTCGCGTCGCGTCGCGCGTTTACCATTTACCGGGGAAACAGTCATCAGATGACGGATCCTTGCGGTGCGTCGATGACGTCGCGGACGGATGCGTTGAAATATCTACTCGCTATGTTGCGAATTCTCTCCTCAAGGTTGGCGCCGAAGCCCGCAGCGGGGCTGAACCGATCCTCGATAATCGAGGATAATCGCCGTCTCATGTATGTGTAACGAAAAGAAAAGGAAAAGACAAATAAAGAGGCGAAACGTCGCGCAGTGGCGGCTGCCACGGCGCTTGACGCCCCAAGCTTCTCTTTCTCCCTCCCTCCCTCTCTCTCTCTCTCTCTCTCTCTCTCTCTCTCTCGCGCGCGTAATCTCCAATAACGGGCGGCTCATCATGGCGCGGACGGTGAATACAAAAGTTATCCACTAGACAGCCGTGAAAGAAGAGCGCGAGGGAGAAACGCTCGAGGGAGAAGCGCGAAGGATGCGCGCTCCGTTCGGAGAAGCCGAATTTGTCCGGCTCGAGGAGCCGGCGCGAAGGACCCGCGCGCGGCGGCAGGCAGGTTCTTCAGCCTCGAGGACACTCCGGCGTTTCCTCGAGCTGTCACGCTATACACGCCTGCTTCACGACGAGGGCAAGGGTTCCCAAAGTGCCGGTGTGTATCCTCGAACGCAGCCGCGGCCGCGGCCGATCCTCACGCGGCGTGTACGCCGCGTCCTCGTCGTGCACAGACAGTGCGCGTCTAAGATTTCTCGCTGCTCTCTCGTCCGGCTGTTTTCCGTCAGAAAGACGGCCCCCGCGAGACGAGACGGCCTCCGGCTTTTTCCTACTCGTTCGGCCCGTTTGACACTCGATATCGCGCGCCGCGTCCGGGCCGCGTATTAAAATCCTCGTATTATTACACCGCCCTGCGCGCAATATGGCGCGCGCGCGCGCGCCTTCAGCAGCGCTGAAACGCGCGAGCGGCGAGCACGTGTACATGGAAACATGTAGGACGCGGTGCGCGCGTGGACACACGTGGTCTCGCGCGAGTACGCGATGTGAGCGGGCCTCGCGCGAGCGCGAGCGCGAGCCCGCGCGAGAGAGGCGTTTTCTCTCCCGCCTCGCTCTCTTCTTCTGCTTCTTCTCATGCTGCTGCTCGTCGTTTCTTGCCGCAGTCTGTCCGTCCGTTCGTCAGATACGATCTTTCCCGTTTGATAAATCGCTACCGGAAATTCGGACAAAAACGCGCGCGTCGCTCCTTCTCCCTCCCTCCCTCTGTCTCTCACTCTCTTTCTCACGTTCGCGCTCTAGATGCTTCATCGGCGAGCGCGCGCGGCCCCCTTTTTCCGCGGGAAGAAAAATCCGATTTCCGCAGAGTGTCCGAGTGAATTCTTTCACAGTTGCTATGATTTCTCTCTCTCTCTCTCTCTCTCTCTCTCTGTTTTGCATTTTTAATTTTTGCATTTGAGATGAATCTACGGTCGCGCGCGGATGTAAATTTCAGGGGGAACGGCGGCGCGCGCGACTCGCGGAGCGCGTGCTGCGCCGAACGGAGAGGACAGAGGCCCCTTTGTGCGGACTATTTATTTATCTGTCAACAATTACATCGAGACGCGGTCAACAAGAAATCGCGGGGGTCGAAACGGTGAGAAGGAGCGAAGCCCGACGATCGGTATTAATTACGTGGAAACGATTCCACCGATATTCGGGAAATTCAATTATCGTGAATTACCCTCGACCCATTACCTAATTATCTATTCTCTTCTTCTTCTTCTTCTTCTTCTTCATCTTCTTTTTCTTCTTTTCCTCCTGCTGCTCTTCTTCTTTTCAGTGCTGTAAACTTTTAATAGAACCAGACTCTATCTGTTTTATTTGCGAAATTTACTATTCGTCGTTTTCCTCTTCGTTCATCGGAGTTAACGCCGCCACGGCTCGATCCGTTGATATCCGAACAAAATCAGCTTTCACAATGATCTCAGAATTATATCTATCTGTCAAATCATTGTGAAAACCAGTTTCGTCTTAATTGCCGGCATGACTACGGCCATCGTCGTAGGTCGACAGCATCGCCTAATATTATAAGAAGGGCTATATTTTGCAATTATATTCATTAATTGCAACAGCATATTGTATGCTCAAGTACGGCGGACGTTTCGAGCTCTTTAATTTTCCATCGAAGTCGATGAATCTGGAAACAAAAGTAAACGAATTAGTCTAGACGATATTTTTCAGAGGGACAAGGGAAGGAGGGGGAAAGAAGGTGAAAAAGGGGGTAGAAGAAAAAAAGGATTGCTCCCTTTCTCTTTTTTTTAAAGTGAGGCGCGACGAATGGCCGATGCCCTCCCAGAGGAACAGAGAAAGAGAGAGAGAGAGAGAGAGAGAGAGAGAGAGAGAGAGAGAGAGAGAGAGAGACCGAGCTTCGAATTTCTGTGAAGCTCTTAAAATAACAGGGAGACGTGTGCCAGACGTCGAAATTCGTAATTTCGAGAATCGGTCACCCTACGTGAACACCGCTCCTCCCTCTCTCCCGGTCTCTTTATGACTCAAACCTCTTTGGGGGCAGGAGAATAGCTTATGAGCGATGCGTTTGTTACGAGAGAGGGATGCGCTCGAACGTCTTGCACCCTCATAAATAATCGCCCCGTTCTTAATTGCCGCACTGTGACTGCGATACCAATTAAAATAATAGATCGCGGTATTTCGAGCGAGAATTAAAAAAATATCGGACTCCACTTATGATTATTTATTACTGTTGTTATTGTTATTATTATTATTATTATTATTATTATCATCATCATCATCATTATTATTACTATATGGGAAATAATTGTTACTAACACGATATTATATTGGCAATAGAGTGTCGTTCTTTCTCTTTCTCCTCCTCCTCCTCCTCCTCCTCCTTTCTCTTTCTTTCTCTCCGTCGATAAAAGTACGCTAATGTTTACTTTGAGAATACATCGGCGTTGAGATCGCGGCGCGGAACAGTGTCGCCGGACAGGTCAGACACCACATGGTCCGAGGCGCAGCGGAACACGATGACCTCGAGGAATGCGGGGAACGATGATCGGTGATATTTAAGCCCTCATCGATCCTTAATCGACAGATCTACTTGGGAGGTTTTCATCGTACCAGCGGGGAATGTTACAAAGCGATTTGAAAACCGACGCTCGACATCTCCGCGACGCGGATGAATAAACGTCTCTTACATAAAACGCGCGTTATCGCGCGGCCGTTAATTGCGTACGTTGAGTCCTTTCAAGTGGCCGGCCGCGATGCGCCGTACGCGACACCTGTGCTACGATATTGCGTGTAATTGTTCGTCACTATCGCTTGTTTCACTCGGTCTTACCTAACTGTTCGTTAAGCTGGCATAGAAAGAGAGAGAGAGAGAGAGAGAGAGAGAGAGAGAGAGAGAGAGAGAGAGAGAGGGAGGGAGGGAGGGAGAGGGAGAGAGAAAGAGGCACGTATACTATAATTCTCAGATTCTCAGACTCAATTCCAACGATTCCCGCGCGATATTCAATTTGTCGTACATTCGTCATACGTCGGTACAACGATTCGTGAGTCACGCGGATTGATCGATTCGCGACGTGTCGGGCGAAAGTTGCTCAAACGATCCCGGCCGGAGTAGCATGCACGGAATACAAAGAGCGAGCGTGGATAAACGCGAATTCCACGCTTTTCCGCGCATTCGTCATGAGTGTCCGTCAGAAGGGTCCATCGATATATACGTTATTTTGCACGTGCGTTATCGGTCGGCCGATAACGGCGCGCCGGTTACACGGAGCCCTGATAGAGATACGACGCGACCTCGCGACCCGATGGCCATATTCCATGGAAGATCGTCAGTGAGAGGAGGAGAAGCAGCTCGTGAGGATTCGGTCTTCATTTCCTTCCACCCGAGTATTATACAGGGTGTCCCGGATCGAGCACGCTGTTTCTGATGCGTGCTCTATCGATGCGAATCGATCATATTTCTTCACCACACACACACAGAGAGAACGATTTAGTTGAATCTAACAAATACTTATTTGGAATAGTCGAAATAAATTTTTTGATTGATCGAACAAAAAATTTTGTTTGACGCAACAAAAACATTTCGTTGGAACTAAGCTGCAACAAAATATTTTTGTTGCGTCAAACAAAACTTCGTTCGATCACTCAAAAAATTTATTTGGACTATTCCAAATAAGCATTTGTTAAATTCAACTAAATCGTTCTCTCTGTGCACGATTTCTTCAGCTTCCTCGACGACTTCGCCACTTCCGTCTATCACTTTCGCAGTGATTCGCGGTTCCATTAATCGCGGGTCTTCGTCGCATCTCGTGAGATTTATATACATACAGACCTCGCTGCAACGCGGTGCTTGCTATCTCCTGCTCCGGATCTCTTCAGGATAGCGAGCGTCGCTGATTATATAAAAAGACGGAGAAGAAGACGTGTCGTAATGGTACGCCGATATCGTAATGGTACGCACCGCCGACCGGTCCGTTCGTTGATTACGCAGCGCCGGGCCCTTCCGAGAATCGGTATGCCGCTTTTATCTAATTAACGCGGTCAGATCGGCCGCGACAGTTATCCGACGGCCGTCAAGCGATCGTAAAACTTAACGAGAGAACGGGAAGATTCGCCGGAATATCATAACGCGCGCGCAAAGTCGCTGGATACGGAATAACCGTTGCGTTATCACGAATCGTTGCCCGATAATCGCAAGCGCGTACGAGAGACGCGAAGGATCGTTCCGGATAATTCTTCCGCGAATTAATTACTCGGTCGAATAAATCTGTTCCTTTGCGTTCACGATACCGCTGTCGTAAAATTATCGCGCGTTTTCCATCTCGAATGACGCGTGTAATGGTGTTTTTCTCATTTTTATACAATAGCGACTGATTCTATATCGACGAAGACACATTAGGGAATAGATTTTTTGAGATATTGCGCAATGCTAAAAGCACATTATGAAAAATGAAATGGACAATCAATCATTATTTAATATAACAGATTAAAGTTTTTACCAAAGTTGTAATATTTATTGCTTTTCTGTCCCTATTATTTCTTATCGGATAGTTAAAAAAAAAAAATAATATATAAAATGTAGAAATTGCACTGACCGTTGATAACTTATACTAAACTGACGACATTATCTAAAGACCCTAAATGTACCGACTGTTGGTAATTTACCGACTGCAAGTAAATTGCGCATACGGAATCTACATGTCCATCCACTGCACGACAGTTCTCTGTACTAACAACACGACGACCTGCCTTATCGACAGAGAAGCCAGATTATTACATCCTGCTGTATGTCGCGGGACAAAGAAATTGTTGCGCAAAAGCTCACGCAGGCGTGAGCGCTTTCGTAACGCGAGAAAAGAAAAGTACGCGGATCACATTTCGCAATCTTTTGAAATTCCATCTCGATAAGGATACAGTTACAAGGTAATATCAAGTTTCGACTTTAGAAGGACACGCTGCCTTCGCCAGATAATCTCGGCGCAAGTATCATCCTTTTTTTTCATTCCTTAATTACTATTTTTGGCTCTTCGCGGAAGCTAGCTCCTACGAAAACTCGAAAACGGGGCGGGATCGGCCCGCAACGCCGGCCGAGTTCTCAGATCACGACGCTCTTCCGAATGCCCGAGAGTGACCTTTATCCTCCACATGTCACGCGAGCGCGGCAATGAGGACACGATTAACATAAGATTTATCCCCGCGTTCGCGTCACCGAGAGAACTGAGCTGACCGAAATTTATACCGGTTTCGATCGCGCTGTTGCGTCGCGAAAGGGCGTAGTAAGCGGAAGAGGCGTAAAAGTCATTCAGTCCAGCGGCGAGCCATTGATAGAGGCGACGAAGCGAGGTCAGCTATTTGTACGCGTGACAGACCTCTCCGGAGAATCTCGCGCACGGACGAGGACGGTGGCACGCACGCACGCACGCACGCACGCACGCACGCACGCACGCACGCACGCACGCACGCACGCACGCACGCACGCACGCACGCACGCACGCACGCACGCACGCACGCACGCGCGCATTCGGGCCCGGGTGTGACACATCGCCGTATTGCGTGTGCGGATCGATTCCAGGGTTCGATATAGTGGCTCGAGAAAAAGCAAGCGGGAGAAAAAAGAGATGTCGGATATTATCAGGTCCTCATTAGAGATCTGTTCGTTATTCAAGATACTGCGCGTCTTTTCTGCTACGCGATAGATCGTCCCGCGTCGACGTTTACACAGCTGCCGGGAGCCGCGCGTCGCGATATCTGGGTTAGAGATTCGCCGGTTTTTTCTAGATTGTGTGGTCGCGTGTACCTTATGAAATTATTGCTGCCTCTCTCGGATAACACAAGTGGTCGGGAAAGAAAGGCACCTCGACGTTGCCCGACATCTTTCGCCGCGTCACCACGCCGGGAGATTGTCTGTCTTCTCGCTAATAACGTTCTCGGACACACGTTGGGTGCTCGGCGATTTCGGGCGAATTTACTACCGACAACGCTATTTATAACAGTGCTTGCGAGAGAGAGAGAGAGAGAGAGAGAGAGAGAGAGAGAGAGAGAGAGAGAGACTTGGATTAGTCGGAATTAGTTCGAAAAGACCGGCGGCGGCGGCGGCGGCGGTCGGCCGAACCGAAGCGGAGGTCGATATTCGAGCGTTACGGTTTCGCGAATGACATGTCCCGGGTGCGATTTGCATACAATGGAAGCGCCGGGTATCCAATACGGCTCGGAGAACATCTCGCGCGGCAAGCATGCGCGGGTAACGAGCGATTAAAGAAACATTAACGCGTTACAAAAGCACATTGAAAAAAGGCGGCGCGGCGGCGGCAACGGCGAGTTGATGTCATCGCCGAGTCACGATCGTGAATGCCGATTAAACGCCGCGTGCGTATCGTATCGTGCGGATGACCACCGCGGAAGGAAAGAAGGAACGAACGACGAGACGCGGTGTACACGTCCAGCAGGGGAAGCAGATGTTTCCCATGCGAGTCCGATCACGAAGGAGAGTAAGCCTTGGCAAGGCTGTCTCTCTTCCCTGGAATTGGCTTCCTCTTCTTTCTTTCCCTTCGTCTCTTTCTCTCTCACGCGACATGCCGCCGCGCACGCTGAATAATTGGGTTGGAACTGAATTGTTTCCAAGTTTCTATCGAGCGAGGATCGATTTTTCCTGGACACATAAAAGTCGAA